GTGTTTCTTGACTGCTAGGCAGAGGAGGAAGACAACGTGGAAGGTAGAAAAGTGGGCTGGGAAGAGGCAGACAGGAGGGCTGTCAGCCTAGCAACTCAGGAAGCTGAGAGCCGAAGATCATGGTTCAGTGCCAGCCCGGACCGGGCCAGGCCCCTTTTTATTATCTCCAATGAACGGGCCACACGTCCGTCCGCCGTGCAGTTCCGGCTCAGAGTACCCCCTGGAGAGGAACCGAGAGAAGGTAGAGGAGCAGCAAGTGTCCGGGTCCTGAGTTCAAGGCCCAGGACTGGCTCCCAAAAATTAACCAGGAGTTCTACATCACCAAGGCGCCCATGTCAGAGAGTGTGGGGAGGAAGCTCCAGCCCCGGCAGCCGTGACCCCGGAGTCCCCGCGGGGACCCCCGACCCACACCATGGGGCCCCCAGCCCACCTGGTGAAGCTAGCGATGGCCGACATCCTGCTGTCCTGCGCCCAGGTACGTTCGCAGGGAGAGAGGCAGGGCGTAAAGGCATGCTCTGCTTAGCTCGACCAACTCCCAACGCTGCAGGAAGAGATGAAGAGAGAGAAACACCGCAGGGGGGTCGTCTGGGGGGGCAGAGAATCCTGGCCAAAGACTGGGCTGGAAATTAGGATCAGGATGGAGTCAAGCAGGGTAAGGCTGGTGCTTTGAGGAGTTGGGCCTGGTGATCCACACCTGTAATCCCAGCACCGGGGGGACCAGGAGCTTCAGAGCAGAGCGGGGCTGCATTGTGAGCACGGGAGAGGAGGACCCCCTCATTCCCCCCTTCTTTCTTTCCAGTTGTTTTTCTTTTCTTTTCTTTACAAAGGGCCTGTGGAGGGGGTCTGGGCCCATGGAGATCTCCTTCAGATCTCCCTTTCCTTCCCTATAGAGAGGGGCTGCAGCTCTGGGATTGCGTTACAGGGATGCTGTCCTGTTTCCTGGCTCTAGGTTTTACATTAGAATGATGAGTTCTTCATCACTGTGGTCGGTCCAGGGCTTGAACTCAGGGCCTGGGCTCTTGCCCTCCGGGCTGGTGCTCTACCGCTCTAGCCGCAGCTCCACCTCCCCCTTTCTGAGGTTCATTGAGGAGTCTCACAGACGTCCCAGGCTGGCTTTGAACCGCGATCCTCAGCTCTCGGCCTCCTGGTGGCTGGGATGCCAGGCGGGAGCCGCCAGGCCCGGCCTCCTGTTTGTAAGCTATGACTTCCCGATCGAGATGTCGGGAAGTAGCGGCGAAGCTCCGACCCGGAGCCAGAGGAGGCTGCGCAAGAGTGTGAGTCCCCGAGTTCAAGCCTCGGCCCAGGCCCAGGAGCGACGGGGTGAAACATGGACAGGA